GGGGCTGTGATAATGGCAATTCCATCCTGTATTACATCACATTGAATCTCAAGATTAGTTTGAAAAGCTAGTTTGTAGCAGATACAAGAACTTCCTACAATCATGGGCAGAGCCAGGGGGTGGTCATGGGTGGTGTCATGGTAGCACCAGCCACCCCCACCGCTACTCCTGCCAGACCTTTACAGTTCATAGTGGTCAAAGTTAACTGAAGAAAGCACTGTGTGTGTGTGTCTCATTTTAACACAGTGTATTGTTCGTACATTGATATCACATCCAATCTCTGAGGCCATGTGGCCTATGTCAGAATGGTCAGATTGGAATTTGTTTTTTCAGCATCTCACTCCTCTGCACATGCACATATCACCTGTCCTCATCATTCAGTGTCAGATTTCACAGACCGGTAAAAATAAACAGAGCAACAACAGAAGAGGGGATCAGTGCACACACAAGGACATTTCACATTTGTTTAACATTTATGGAAAACCTTCTGATCAGGCCAAGATGGAGGGAACATGTCATAAGTTCATGAGAAAACTGTGCAGTTTAACCATCGCACAAATGACTTTATTGTTGTTATTGTGCCCATGCGGCTCACATTCAGTTGAATATGCACGTGTGGCATTTTAAGAGTGCAACGGCGTTCAGGACAGATCTGTATCATGTCACTTACAAACATGAATGTGACCCATGAACCAGAACCCTTAAGATAGAAGAGTTATGACACTGAGGGGTCACAAACGGCAGCAGGTCACGTGACTCGCGGCTACACATGGCTTGAAACAGCAGATTCAGATCTGTTGTTTTCTGTAGGGAACAATGTGATTTACCAGCAAATCACTGACTTGAACAGCCTTATAAACTGATTTTGTGTTCTGTTGTAGTTAGCTCTGCTACTTTAGCTATTTAGCTAAGTACCTAATCTATTTAAAGTGACAATATTTGAGACAGTCAAAACGTTTGTAAAACCTGGTTTGACACATTTTGTTAACTTAAAAATTCACAAGTAAAATTTTTTCTATCGATTTCATCTTCTTACTTTAGAAGATAGCAACCAGGCCAGTGTAACTCTATGGCACAGTTTCCAGTGTTTGGAGCTATTCAACATTCTCATGATCTGCCATTACTGTAAAAAACTGTTCTTATTGAGTCAATGACGATGTCATTACTGTTCTTCCTAATCCACTCTGCTATGAACAGGAAAAGTCTGACAAAATATGACAAAAAGATCTGAATTGAACATGTAATGTGAATGTAGAGTTAGAGGATTTAAAATACGTATCATATATGTGTGTATATTTTTTTTGTTTTGGTTTTTTACAGTGTATCTTACCTTCTTTCATGCCAAAAGTGAAGCCAGTGCCAGTTGTTCCCTGCTGTTGTGGACATTTGTTAGGACAGAGATGGCTAATACGACTGTGCCCTCACTATGTGGACTGTCATGTATACAGTACTAACCGTAATCTCCTTCTGTGGAAACAGAAGCTGAGAGTTATTGCATTATTCCTACAAAATCTTGGCATATGGAACAAATTGCCATATTATTTGATTTTGCTAATGTATTATTCATATTATGTTCTAAAATTTGATTTCAGATATGCCAGACAGTTAAAATTACAGCAGGAAAAGATAGAGTTCATTGTCTTGTCTCCCCAGTGGGTGCAAAAGTTCACTTGTTGACAAAGACTCAAAGAAGTGTATGCAAATTATTTTCTGCACAGTAGGACAAAAACATGATAGTGTAACAAAGCAGGTAATTCTCGGGTACTGCATACATGTGTGGTATATCTCCATATGTTTATAAGTTCCTGCTTTGGTGGACAGGGCAAAGTAGATCATGTTTTATTCCAGTGAAAGGTCATCTGAGGCCAGCAAGCGTCCTGGCTAGAGTTTAAACACACATCAGTGTCTTCTTCCACATATGCTACCACCGCTTGGAACATACTGGCTTTATAGCAACTCCCAGCTCCATGGCAACGGCCGGCTCTGCCCTCGCCGGGCAGCGAGCACTTGGTGTGAGAGCATGCTGTTTCATATTCAAGTCCTGCTCTGTATGTTATGTTTGCCAGTCTAGCTAATGTGGATTAATATTCATAGAAATTCAGCATGAGGCTAATCTAGTTATTTTGAAGCCACGGGCATTTTAATTTGGTTTATTTTCATGTTTTCAAGGCTGTGCTGTGCAGTTCTCACTCTCATTCTTTACCAACCCACCGACTGAAGATGTAACACAAAGCCTTCTGAATACATACAGTCACAAGTCAGGGAGTTAAGTGTAATGGGATTATTAAGGAGCATATTTATGCTCCATAACAGTGCTTTCTCCACAGTGCTATACAATAGCCAGTCCATTTCTATTATCACACATTCACATCAGGAACTCCACATTCTGTAGCATCCCACTCCCCCATCACATCAGCCCTCAGCTGCGTTTGTGAGAGAAGAGGTCTCTGTGAAGCCATTTGACATGTACTGTGCAACAAACCACAGAGCAGTAAGAAAGTTGAGCAGGATGATGTTATTAATATGTAGGAATTACCTGTGCAAGTAAATCTATATTAGGAGGCAGAAAGAAAATCAGAGATGATGACTGGAGGAAGAAAGGGGAATTCTGTCATTTGGGGGAGGACACAGTGGGTTTGGTAAAGGGGAAAAAACAGGAAACTGGGAGATAAATTGCAAATTACATTCCATGTGTGTTATGTGGGCTAAAACTGGAGAGAGTTGGAGAGCAGAGAGGACTCTGGGGGCAGCAGCAGCAACTCCATTCGGGTCTTTGTCCCCATGGATCACATTGGCTGGTGTTGGCTTACAGCTGGGGCTGGAAAATACAAATTTAAAGGGCAGAACTCTCTTCTCTTCTCTTTTCATTGCTGTCAGGACTGAAAACTGCTCTTGCACACAAAGTTATTAAACAGTTTTAATACATGTAAAAATGTCACTGCACAACTCTAGGATGCAAATAGTCATTACAGTGATTTACAGTGGGCTGCAGTTATACACCATATGCAAGAGTGTTATCTTTGTTCCTGCCAAACAGAGGAGCGCCGTTTGTTAGTATCATCTATCACTTTTCCAGCATAACACTTTTTAGAAGTCAAAAGGCTGGGCTAAGACCTAGAGGGGTGAAGGATCGGGTGCTCTCCAGAGCTTTTGCAAAATGCATGAGAATCACTCACATAGAGCAAAATAAAGGGGGAGGTCAGACTGCTCCTCTGTTTATTTTAAATTCCTCTCCACTAATGTCTCTGTCAGGACATTTGTCATGGCGGTCAAGCTGGGTCTTCATTTGCCTGATCACATAGATCTGTTCAGCATCAGTGCATGCCTTGAGAAGGCCACAGGATGTTGACACTGTATACACTGGCATGTTGTGCACTCACCTGCTAGAAAATATGAAAATGCAAACACACTTTGTTTGTTTCAACTATGAAAATGTGTTAGAGTCCTAACGTGTAGAGCAGGGTTGTTAAATGTGGCACCAGTAGCCTAATGGTATGCGATGACAGACAGAGGTATGATCTCAGTATGAAGTGAATTTGCACTGCATTCATCAGTTGAATGCACCTTGCTCTGTTGATTGAAGTGGGTTTATTTTTCTTCTGGTTTGTTCTTGTATCTTGGGAGCAAAAGGGAAGTTATACAGTATATGACTTACAGGGAAGTTGCAACATTATGCACGATATTACTAGTTGATAGGCATTATTAACGGGATCTGTAAAAACCTGCAAATAATAAAGTAGGAAAGCCTCAGCAGAAAGTATCCAGGAACATCAATGCCTCTCTGCACACAGAAAGCTTTTGCAGTATGGGATGTGCGCAGTACACTCTATTAGGGCATTCATTCACTGGAAAGAGCTTTTCCCCTGGGTGAGAGAAAGTTCTGGAGTTTGAGAAGATGTACCGTGGGAGTGCAGCTCATCAATTACACAAGGTCAGAAAAATGTCAGATTTTAGCCAGGAGTCAGCCAATAAAGCAGACATGAAGAAAGATCACACACTGCTTTGGAGATGCAAGCAAATGGGGAGGAGACGGAGCTGCAGCTGGTCTCATGACAATAGGGGGTTCCAAAGAAAGACTGGGGAGGAAAGTGTAGGGGGATGCATGGATAAGAAAGCATACTTCACAAAATATCTCTTGTCTGTTCTATGAACTCTCTAAGGGGATTAAGGGTTTAATGAACTGCTGATTGGGAGTCTGTGTGTCTGAGGGATAGGCAATGGAGCAAGGCAGAGAGTGGCTGGGG